ATGAGAGAGTTGTTGCTCTTCTTTTCTTCGATCTCCTGTTGAGTTTGTAGGTGTTCAGAATGGTTTGATCCCTATCCAGCTGAATTCCTGAGAGGAGATGAAATCCAGGTCTCCTACTCCTCCGCCATCTTGCTCTGCCCCAGCAGTGATTTTTTATATCCATGTTTGGTAACTAAATTTCTGTATTGGTCAGTCAAAGAAGAAAACTCAGCATTTTAAAGAAAAACCTTTCTAATTTTAAAGATTACAATACATTTTTTAAAAATTTATTTATTTGACAGAGAGATAGCAGAAGTAGGCAGAGCAGCAGGCAGAGGGAGAGGGAGAAGCAGGCTCTCTGCTGAGCAGGGAGCCCGATGCGGGGCTCGATCCCAGGAGCCTGAGATCATGACCTGAGCCAAAAGCAGCCGCTTAACCGACTGAGCCACCCAGGCGCCCCTATAATACATTTTCAAGTGGTGAATGTAAGGGGTTGGAATCAAAATCTGGAAATTGAGCTTATTTAATCATGCATGTTTACATCTTGTTAGAGGGAAAGTTGAGTTTGTCATGCATTGATTGAACCCTGAATTAAAGACATTCTGGAATATTTATATTATGAAATATAAACTCTATGAGGACAGAGATTTTGTCTTATTTGTTCACTGATTTATTCTCAGTGCCTAGAACAATGTCTGGCATATTAAAAAAAAGCTTAAAAAATGTTTGTTGACTAAGTGACTAAACCTTTATGAAACTAATTACTAACTAGATGTTAAATATTCCTTCTAGGTTTGCAATATGGATATTTCCTTAAATTTTTGAAATGTCATTGTCCTTTTTTTCTAATACTTTCCAGTTTTTAAAATCTCTGAAAGAATTTCAAATGATAAAACACATTTAAAAATGTTTTATTTGATGATGTTATTAAAGAAAGAGAGGAACAGATGTAGAATGGGTTGGCAGAGGGGGACTGCTTGGAATTAGGTCACTTTCTTAACTCTTCTTCTTGTGTAGAGATATTGCAACATGCATGCAGTGTTTGAAAAATGGTCTGTAGCATTCTTCTGCCAGTTGTAATAATGTGTATATGCTTAAGGGTAAGATGAGAGTAGTAGTTTTAATTCCAATTGTCACTATCCCATTTTTATTTTTGCTTATGTTTGTATACTACTTACAAAATCACACACACTGAATTATTTTAGATGCCCTAGATTCATATTATATAGGACACAAATATATTTGTGCATATTAACACAATAAGTATAAATGGGTATTTTTATATAGGGCCAATAATTCTAAAGAGAATAAATCTTGTGAAAAGTTTTATATTATGTAATCCCAATGTTCATCATTGAGCAAATGAGCTAAAAATACCACAGGCAATAATCATTTTGTGTTGTTTGTTAAGATAGAGAATTTCTTCAGTATTAGAATTACTCAGTATAAGAATTACTGTTAAAATGTTTTATAAATGGCATGAACTGCTCAACACAGGAAAGTAGGTGGACTCATATATATATTTCTTACTTGGGTGATAATAATTCCTTAAAGTGAGATGTTTCAAGTTTATCTGGTTCATTTCTTGGTTCTATTAATGACCTAAACTATTTCAACCATTGTAACAAATACATTTATTCTATAATTGATTGCAAATAAGAAGGTTTCTTTTTTCTCACTTTTGTGTCTTCTGACCTGTCCATAAGCATATTTTTTTTAAAAATGCAGATGCACAGCTATACAGTGGAAAAATTATTTAATGTAATACATTGTCTGCCATATTCAGACCATAATATTTATAGCAAATTATTTATACCATTTCATGAGTCTTCCTGTTTTTAGAGCTATTACTAGAATTTTGTTAATGCTGTCAATTACCAATAAATATTGAAAACTTCCTTAATTATATACTTATGTGCATTAATAATTTTCTGTAATGAAAATTTTTTTTTCTGTAATGGATTTTTAAATTATCATCTGTTGGCTGAGCCTTTAAAAGTTTTGATGCATTCATAGCTGCATCAATTCCTTTTTTTAATTTAAATTCAGGTTACTTAACATATAGTATAGTATTGGTTTCAGGAATAGAATTTAGTGATTCATCACTTACATATATCACCCAGTGCTCATCACAAAAAGTACCCTCCTTAATGCCCATCACCCATTTAGTCCATCCTCCCACCCACCTCCCCTCCAAAAACCCTCAGTTTTTTCTCTATAGTTAAGAGTCTTTTATGGTTTGCCTCCCTTTCTGTTTTTATCTTATTTTATTTTTCCTTTCCTTCCCCTAGGTTCATCTGTTTTGTTTCTTAAGTTCCATGTATGAGTGAAATCCTATGGTATATGTCTTTCTCTGGCTGACTTATTTCACTTAGAATAATACACTCTCATTCCATCTATGTCATTGCAAATGCAAGATTTCATTTTTTTGATGGCTGAGTAATATTCGATTGTATATATATACCACCTCTTCTTTATCCATTCATCAGTCAGTGGACATTTGGGCTCTTTCCATAATTTGGCTATTGTTGATGATACTGTTATAAACATTGGGGTGCATGTGCCCCTTCAAATCACTATTTTGTATCCGTTAGATAAATACCTAATAGTGCATTGCTGGGTCATAAGGTCATTCTATTTTTAACATTTTGAGGAACCTCCATACTGTTCTCCAGAGTGGCTGTACCAGTTTGTATAAGTTTGTATAAGAATACCAACAGTGCAAAAGTGTTTCCTTTTCTCTGCACTCTTGTGAACACCTATTGTCTCATGAGTTTCATGAGTTGTTAATTTTAGCCATTCTGACTGGTGTGAGGTAGTATCTCATTGTGGTTTTGATTTGTATTTCCTTGATGATGAATGATGTTGAGCACCTTTTCATGTGTCTGTTAGCCATCTGGATATCGTCTTTGGAAAAATGTTTATTCATGTCTTCTGCCCATTTCTTAACTGAATTATTTGTTTTTTGGGTTTCAGTTTGTAGATATAAAAACCCATTTTAATATGATCTACTTTCAATGTATAGACACAAATTCTCAAAGTCGGAATGTCTTCTAGTCCAGCTCTCCCAATTACTGTTTTAGATCTTATCTACCTAATCATAGATACATAGATCTAAACTGGTTATCTAGCTTCTTACTATCTCCTGAAAACTGTTTTTGTTTTTCCCAGAATGCTTTAATAGGCAGTTGTTTATGTTGATCTGAAAGTTGCCTCCCTGTAATTTTTACCTATCCTTCTTCCCCTCATCCAAAGAAAGAAAACTTTAATCTTTTCACATGATAGTCCTTCTCATGTTTAGGCATGTGTCACATCAACCCCTTCCTTTCTCAAAGGACTTCTCTTCTTTAATCCAAACTTTCTGAATTCCTCATATGTCATGATTCTTTGTCTCTTTTGAGGTACAGAGCTGAACACAAGGACTTTTGTATAAAATAGTCATTACCAGTAGAAGAGTTACATTTGAAAGCCATATTATAATAAAGAATAATGATTATACTTTTTGATTAGTCACAAATATATGTTACTTTACTTAAGTATTGAATTGTTTTTAATTATTTTTATTAACTTTATCTTTCTTGGTTTATCTTTTATATATTTTATCAATGATGACCACTTTTACAAATACTGAGTCTTTTAATTACTGTAGGTATGTTGTATAATTTACCTTTTATCTTTATGAAAAATGCATAACATTATTTAAGAGTCAATTGTGCTAATATTTTAATTTAAGGATTTTAAAACTGAACATTTAGTTAACATACATTTAATGGTTGGTTGGCTTTAATAATTTCTTCTTCCTCTTCCTCTTCTCTTTTTTTTTTTTTCCCCCATTTCTTTTTGACAGTTTTCTGTGGGTTGATACAGAGAATCATCACAATTGTGCCTGGTATGGACTTGTTGTCTGGGACGTATATATTTGCGGTCCTTTTAGCATGTGTCGTATTTCAGTCTGGTGCCCAGGAGAAAAACTACACCGTCCGAGAAGAAATGCCAGAAAACGTTCTGATAGGAGACTTGCTGAAAGACCTCAACTTGTCACTGATTCCAGACAAGTCCTTAACATCTCCTATGCAGTTTAAGCTAGTGTACAAGACTGGTGATGTGCCACTGATTCGAATTGAAGAAGGTACTGGTGAGATCTTCACTGCTGGAACTCGCATTGATCGTGAGAAATTGTGTGCTGGTATCCTGGTGGAAACCCGTTGCTTTTATGAAGTGGAGGTTGCTGTTTTGCCAGATGAAATATTTAGACTGGTTAAGATACGTTTTCTGATAGAAGACGTAAATGATAATGCGCCATTATTCCCAGCAACAGTTATCAACATATCAATTCCGGAGAATTCGGCTATAAACTCTCGATATGCTCTCCCAGCAGCCATTGATCCTGACATAGGAATAAACGGAGTTCAAAACTACCAGTTAATTAAGGTACCTTTTAAAAACACTTTGTTCAAGATAATTCATTTTTAAAAGGCAAAATAAATAAGTAAATAAATAAAAGGATCTTTGTGTACCTCAAATTTTGAGTAAGCCATCACCCCAATTTTCTTTTTCAAGTTTAAGCATAGTAGGGGAAACTCATCAATGCAATTCTTGTGATTGCATAAAGTTTATGAATTTTTATCTTATGAATATTTATTTTCAAGCAGTTGCTTATGTTTCCCTTAACAATATATTATAGGGGTCAGATGAGCTCAGCCCTGCTACTTACAATGAATAACTTACCCAATACCTTACTTTTAATTTGTCTATTCATAACTCTGACACAAGGTGGACCTAAATAAGCAAATGTAGACATTAAGAATGAATACACAAATCTATCAGTTTTACTCAGTGATCATTTTAGATAGGAAATTTTCTCTTGCCATTTGAAAAAATGCCAAAGAAATTTATTTGAGTGGTGAATAGAACATTTTTATTACTAATGTTTCTACACATATATAGAATAATAAATGTTTTTCATGGTGATTTCAAGTCAAGACAAGATTTTTAAGCATCTCTTGAGTCATCAGAATGAGATTTAATTTTAGCCAATGTGATGCTAATGTTAAATTTTGTTCTAATTCTTTGAAAACATAGAATATTCATTTGCTATAAAGGGTATGTAAGATTTTTAGCCAAAAAGTTTCAGTTTATCTGAAGAACCTATTTTGGTCTGACTTGGGTCTTGGGATAGGGAAGGCAGAAAGAAGAATAGGTGGAATAATTGTATTTGAAATATGTGCAGAGGGATCTTATTTATCAAGTGAATGGGTGATTCCTTTTAATTACCTATATAGTACATAGGATAGTAGGAAACTCAGATTTGGATATTGAAATAGTTCAATGCACTTGAATGATCCTGGAAAATGTGTGAAAGAACAAATGTTCAGACTTAATATAGATTGGTTAAGGAATTTTTAAAGTTTCATAAACATTTTCTGACTATTCACTGTCAGATTATTATGATGAACATAATGGCCAATGTTACAAAAATACTCTAAGAACACAGAAATATTTTATGTATATCATTTGAAGATTTTGGCCTAGAAGATGTATAATATTGGAAAACTGCTCAGCTGATGATATGTTGTAAAGACATATTTGTTTATAAATACATTTAGGAAAAGAAGGTTATAGATTTCTTGAGCTAATTCAAGTGAAATGCATACTAGTGTGTGAGTATAAGGAGTAAAAACAGAAAGAAGGGATAGAAGATTTATAAATGAGCATTTTTTAGGTAAGACCCCTGCAAAGGTATCTCCTTATCTTATGAAATGGGAAAATATGCAGGAGTCGGAACAATATGGATCACAATTTTGTGCTTAATGCTGACTAGATATGTCACCTCCAGCTTAATTTTTCTGACCTTTAGTTTCTTCAATCATAATATGAGGATGTTGATGTACATACCACAAAGGCAGAATTGGGAGAATAAACACCCAGTAGAAAGTAGATAGACCTGCCGATGATTTTTGGAGATGCTTTAAATCATTTGACTGTTTATAGATATGTGATATTTATCACTTTAAATTGTAAGTTGTATAGCAGAGTAGATACTATCTCTAAAACAACACTATCCAATGTAACTTTCTGCAATGATAAAAGTTCTATAATCTGTGATAGCCAATATGGTAGCTATTGGCTATATGTGGCCATTAAGTACTTAAGATGGGGTTAGTGTTACCAAGTCACTGAATTTTTAATTTAATTTAATCTTAACTTTAATAGCCACAAGTGGTTAGTGGCTATCATATTAGATAGCAGAATAAAAACACAGAATAAGTTTATTTGGAAAATAAAAAATAACATATAAAATCAGAATGGGACCTTACCAAATTCAAATCAGGTATTAGTAATACAGTCTCTCCACCAACCATCAAGACAAATGTATTGCTTTGAAATGCAGTGTTTTATTATTTCAAAGAAATTATTTCTAAGAATAATTTTGTCATATCTCCCTCAGGATAATAACAAATTTACAATACATTTCTGATTTGTCTTGAAAGTTGCTTAAGAAATTTATATAAAACAAATAAACCTATTGGCATAATTTTAGCTTTGTTAAAATCTGTTTTCATTTGAATTTCTTTGAGATATTATCAGCAAATAATAAAAAGACAGGCTCACTAGAGGTTATTAGATGAGTCTTAGAAATAAACTTGCTCTAAAATTTCATTCTGTTTTAGAATGTGTGATAAGGCAAAAATGAACTACATGATCTACTTAAAAGTATTGAGGCATTTGGATGGCTCCATGGACAAATAACTGTCTTGACTGCTTATTAAAAATAATGAGTATGACAAAGATTAATGAGGAAGGAACGTAAAACATAGCCCCAGGCATGCAGAGGGCTATGACATGGATGACATTAACTGAGTACACTTTGACTTCAAAAAGGTCTTGTCATGAAAGTGCTATGTATGCTGAAGGGATAGGAAGATTAAATAAAAAGAAAGAAAATAAACATGTTATGATTTATCCATAAACTTTAATAAGTGTTACAAGTAGGCCAACCATAATAGTAACTTCTGTCCTACAGAATAAGGTGAAAATTTAATTAATATTAATTTGTTTTATTTTTGTTGAATAGACAAGACAGTAAAATCACAGTTTATCCTAACTAGGGATATATAAAATGTATATGTAAAGTTCAGATAGCAAAGGGAGAGAAGGGAGAGATATAGGGAAAATTTTTAGGGAAAAAAAGGTCAATTTACACATGAAGGGGTCTTGTTACTGACAATTCTATATTAATTAACTGAAAACAAAGGCAGTGGTGGAAAAGATTTATTGAATGTATCAAAAATGTATATAAGTAACATGAAACTTAGAATATTTATCTTAAAAATTAATATATAAACATTTTAACTTAATTTTTATTTTTTGTGATATTATCTATGCTTTGGCATAAACAAGGAAAGCATTATTATTCTACATTTTGAATACTTTGAAAATGCATTTCAGAGTAATAATTTATTTTGCTTATGTTCGTATGACTAGTAAATGATAAAGTTGGGGACCAGAATAAGGTCTTCTGACTCTTAGATTTAATTGACAGACAAGTAGATAGGTAAACTTGAGGATGGGGATCACAACAAGTTCATGATATAAGAGGAAGGAAGAAGAAAAAAAGAGGCAAAGAAGAAAAAGGAGAAAGTGAGAAACAGAAGAATGAAGTGATTACCAAATGATTCTGCTTAGTACAAAGAAAATTATGTTAAAACTTATCTATGTGACATTGGCAAGGTTAATTTTCAACTTTTTAAGAGATTAGGATACTTTTTTTTGAGAGAGAGACAGAGACAGAGTGCCAGTATACCCGTGGGTGGGAGGAGGGGGAGGAGCAGGAGAGGGAGAGAGAATCTTAAGCAGGCTCCATGCTGGGCATGGAGTCCACATGGGGCTCCATCTCATGACTCTGGGATCATGACCTGAGCCCAGCTGAAGAGTTAAATGCTTAACCAACTGAGCCACCCAGGTGTCCCAAGATTAGGATACTTTCTAAGGAAAAAAAAGATTCATTGAAAGTTTCTAATGTTGGTTGCCACTTAAAAAAATACCTAGAAGCAAAAATCTTCACTTTTCCCTATGTTTCAAGTAAAGTCCTGCTATGATGCAAATTCCTCATGGTATTTTGATATAATTTCCCATAATTTGAACTACCTGTGCTAAATATTTATAACTACATATATCTATCTATACATATATATGTGTATATAAATAATATATATACACATATACATACATATGTTATATATTTTATATATTATAAATATACATTATTTATAAATATAAATATATTGTTTTATTAAATGTTATTAAATAATATATTTTAAAAATATTTTATTATATATTATATATGGTATATACAGATATATAAATATCTGCATCTAATTGTGCAATTAGCAATTGAGCCCTTGCAGTATTTGAAGCTGTTGGTCAAGAGTAGGACATTACAGCATCTCTTTTTCACCTTGTTATTGTGATGGCCTGTTATTTATAAAGCTTTTTTTCACATTCTAAGTCTTGTTGACAGGGAAGACAATATTTTCACAAATAGAAATGAACTTCAAGTACCCAATCTGATTCAAGATATGGATATAAACCACAAAGACCTACTTCTTCCTATGGCTGGAACTGAGGGTATATTAGTTTGTGTAGTAATATTTCATGTCTTCATTTTCTGCTTCAGATTTCCATCTTCCTCACATATATCAATAATATTTCTATACTAGTCCAGTGACATGTGTTGATTGGTTCCCTTGAAGCAGGCATGACAATGTTTCAAAGGTTGACAGTTTATGCTGACAGAGCATGAAGATCAAGTTTTTCTCAGATTAGTGATCCTACTTGAAACCCTCACCCATTTTGCCCATTCCATAAAGCATCTTTATCTTTTTAACCAACCATAAAAGAAATTTTAATCTTGGGCAGGTCTTTTCACATAATCAAGATTTGGGCACTTATTTCTATTTTATTTAAAACCAGATATAAATATTTGGTCTTTACGTTTAATGCTAAATGAGAACTAAATATCTTTCCTCTTGATCAAGGGTTTGGACTTATGAAACTAAGGTTAGAGTGAGATTTGTTTTGAAGTCTGGGATTAGAAAATCCAAATTGTGAAAATCTCATCTACAATTAGATTTAGTAATCTTGAATTAAATTGCCAAGAATGAGGCATCCAATAATATATCCTGGGGACAAAAAGCAAACAAACTTTATTATTCTGAAGGAACTATTATTTCTTTATCTTATGTAACCATAGCTCAAAGTGGTGTGAAGTAAGTTATCAGGAGCAATGAATAAAGATTAACTAATGTTATTGCAGGCAGAACATGTAGACTATAACAATATGTTTGTCTTAGAAAGCATAGTTACTTCTAAGAGGATGAAAGGAGTTTGAATATAGTGATTTCCTCATTTTTCAACTATAAGATGAAATT